CTTTCAAAGGAGGAAATTGTCATTAAAGCAAGCCAAAGACTTGTGAGCCTCCTATGCTTTTTACTAGAGGGATAGAGAGCTCCAGCAGACGCCAAGATAGTGAAGTCCCTCATCACTACACTATCATTCTAAGAGCTGAAATAAAACAGGCATACAAATAACTATAAGTTAAACAATATCAAGTAAAGGTCCATATAAAAAGCAAGAAGAAAGAACACTTCTCTCTGGAAAACAGAAGTCTTAGTGGAAGAGGTAGGAACTAATTAGGTCTTGAAGAAGGAGGTCAGTGGACAAAATCTTAAAAAAAAAACCAAACCAACCCTTCCATTTTTATGAGATATGAACAACTAATAAATCAGCAAACATATGCCAGTGGCTGGGAGTTTAAACATAAAAGTGAAACACTCCTACCTTCAGGGACTTTATGTTCTATTGAGGAATAGAATGCATATACATAAATTAAATACAGACTATATACTCAATAAATACATAGTGATTAGAGTGTGGGCATTAACTACTGGGGGAATCAGGAAAAGCTTCTTAGAGGAATGACAATTAAACAATATGAAAGATTCTTAAAGGAAGGAGCTTTGAAGAGAGGGTTTCAAAAGCGATGGTAAGGAAAGGAGAACACTCTAAGCATTAGGGAGAACTTGTGTAGAGACATGGTAGCATCATCCTGTTCAGGAAACAGGAAGGAGGCCAATTTGTCTGGAATATAGAACATATGGGAAAGTATTGGGTAATCAACCTAGACAGAAAGTGGAAGCCAGATTGTGAAATTCTTTTTTTTTTTTTAAGGCAATTAGGGTTAAGTGACTTGCCCAGGGTCACACAGCTAGTAAGTGTCAAGTGTTTGGTCAGAGGCTGGATTTGAACTCAGGTCCTCCTGACTTCAGGGCCGGTGCTCTATCCACTGTGCCAGCTAGCTGCCCCGTGAAATTCTTTAAATACCGAATTGGAGGAATTTGTATTTTTAACCTAAAGCCACTGAAACTAAGCAAAAGAGTGACGTGGTCAGACTTGTGCTTTGGGAATATTAATTTGGCAGTGGTGTGGAAGACAGAGTAGAGAGGGAAGAGACTGGATGTGGGTAGATTAGGAGGATATTGCAATGGTCTAGGTGAGATGTGATGGGGGCCTAGACATAGGGTGGCTATGGTGTTACTAGAGAAGTGAGATAGATGTGAATGCTTTTGAGGAGGTAGAATTGACAAGACTTGACAGCTGATTGGATGTTGGGGACTGAGAGAAAGAAGAGTTGGGAATGACTTCTCATTTGTGGACCTTGAGGAATGGTGGTACCCTCAATAGAAACAAAGAAGTTAGGAGGATAAGAGAGAGAGTTACTTTTAGGGATTGGGGGGGAGATAATTTCTGCAGTTCTGTTCTGGTTACATATGTTGAGTTTGAGAGGATACACAAGTGGAGACAGATGTTCAACAGGAAATTGGAGATGGAGATTTGGAGCTCAGAAGTTGAGGGATGGATTTTGAGAGTCATCTGCCTGGAGATGATAGTTGAATATATGGGAGTTTGATGAAGTCCCCGATAAAGCCTAGAGAGAGAAGAGGAGAAGACTCAGGACAAGGCCCTGAGGCACATGCACTCATTGGAGGCAGGATATAGATGATGAGCCCTTCAAAACAGAAAAATCAAATCTAACAGACTGGAAGAGAACCATAACCAACAATGTCTCAAAAACCTTAGGAGGAAAGAATATTGAGGAAGAAGTGGTTATTTGTATTAAATGTTATAGAGAGGTCAAGACTGAGAGAGGGCCATTGGATTTTTCAATAAAATGATTGATTCCATCTTGCAGAGAACACTTTCCATTAAATGGTGTGAGCAAAAGCATTGAGATGGGAAAGACCAGTACAAGAGGAACTAGTAGCCCGGTATGGCTAGAACTACATGAAGGAAAGGACTAAAAAATAAAATTAGACAAGTCTGAACCAGATTTTGAAACCAGGCTAAAAAGTTTTGGACTTTATTCATTAGATACTTGGGAGCCTTAAAGTCTTTGAGCAGGGGAGTGATGTAAATCAGATTAGTATATCAGGAAAATTAAGTGTACATTAGAGACTGTAGTTAGGTAGTTGTGTGCCTAAGAGCAAGTCCTGCTACTTACTCCTCTTAAAATATGGGGATCATTAATCACTTTACTCTAATGATTTCTTAAACCTTAGAACCAACCCTTTAAGCTTGAATTTTATTTAATATTTAAATACTTTACTATATGTAGAGTACTCTGGGATATGCTCAGAGATACAATGACAAGACTTGGCCCTTGCCCTCATAGAGCTAGTAAGAGAAATATACATAGACATAATAAAAAATTAAATTATTTTAATTCACGAGAGTTACAAAGTGTCATGTGAATATTATCAAATGGAATAATATTTATAAAATGTGTAATATAGTGCCTGACACATAGTAGGTGTTTACTAATTCCTTGTTCTTTTCTTCCCTATTCCCTAGCCCCAACCATTTTTTAAAGCAGTTAGGTAGGAGAGATCACTGAGCTTGGAGTCAGGAAGATCTGGGTTCGAATCCAGTGTTAGGCATTTATTAGCTATTGGATCTTGGGCCAGGTCACTTAACCTTTGTTTTCCTTAGTTTCCTCTACTGTAAAATGGGGATAATAATAACACCTACCTCCCAGGATTGTCGTGAAGATAACATGAGATACAGCTTTCTCTTTACATTAATTTGCAGTGTGCAATTTCTATTTTACATAAAGAATTCTGAAAGGCATGGGAAGATGTAACAGAAACATGTGTAAAGAGAATTTGGGAAAAAGTATGCCCACAGTTTGTTCCTGATTTTTGTGGATTTGACAAAGATGGAACATTTGAAGAAGTGAGTAACAGGATTGTAAAATGAGTGCAAGAACTGGAGATAGAAATGGATGAGAATGATGTAAAAGTGTCGATTGAGTGTCATGGAGAACTGTCCAATGAGGATCTGAGTGAGCTGCCAGCTACAAAGATTGAAGAAGAAAGAGAAGCTTCAGAACCCAAGGTCAAACCAAAAAGGTTCATGACAAAACAGTTGGCAGAAGCATTTCATCATTTGAATGAATTTTTTTCTTGCATTGAAAAGATGGATCCAAATGCTTTAAGATTTTTAAAAGTTCAAAGACTAGTTGAGGATATTATTGCTTGCTATGATCAGCTATACAAGAAAAAAAAGAGAATCACTATCCAAACATCTCTCAATAGCTTCATTAAAAAAAAGTTGTATAGCCAACCACCGATGATAAAGGTCAGGTGCCGTGGATGAGGAAAGGGCAGCATACTGCATACCTCTGTTAACTTTATTGTTCAGTTACTGTGCATATTTTATCATTAAGTTTACTTTTAATTTCAAACTCTTTATTATAATGGTATTTAACATGTCTGCATCTTAGTAATTTTATGACTTTTACATAAAGCATAAATAAAGTGGATGGGTCAACTTAAGTAAAGCAAGAACTATCTGTGTTTGTAAAGTGCCTAGCACAATACCTGGCATGTAAGAATAGCTAGCATTTATATAGTGTCTATTGTTGTTTTTGTTGTTGTTATTATGTATAAAAGACAAAGGAAAAAGAGATGATTTTTGATTTGCCAGGGTGGGTCAGGAAAGACTTTTTTCAAAAAGCATTTGAAACCAGTTCTTGAAAAGATTTGTTAGAATTACAACAGGCAAAGAGAAGGGAGGGTAGGTATTTAAGGCATAGGGAAGAGTATGAAAAATAATAGCAGAAATGGAAAAACAGAAAATTTAAGGAGGAGCTGCTTTAATCTTTTAGGTGTCCCAGAAGGTCTGACAAAAACTCCTTTGTATTTTCAAGGTCAGTTTTGCTAATAATATCAACTTCATTCATTTATTTTCTTCATTCAATTTAACATTTTTTATAGTTTATTTGTAAAAGAAAAGCATCCCATTCCTTGTTTCGCATTCATATCAATCATGCCTAGGTTGGAATTGAGAAACATCCTTCCATCAGAAGTGTTATTTGATCCATTGAAAGTTTTTTCAGAAAACCTCATGTTTTTGTGGGGGATGGGGAATAGAGAGTGGGAAATCTTTCCAGTTGCAACTTTGGATATATGTAAAGGATTTGTGTAATTTATATACACACTTTTACTATATTAGTCCAAAATCTGTGAAAAAACACACAAAAGCCAGTGTCACTGGAAAATTACGTGGTATGATGTAATTATTGGCCAATGATCACTTTACCTTTTGTTGTATTGTGTTAGGATTTCTGGACTATTTGTCACAGTATCAACTATAGCATGCATGTGGATGGTAGAAAGTAGGAAAGTATTCTTTCTTGCTCTACAGCACAAATGCAAAAAATACAGAATTATGTAAATATGAGTTATATGTAAAACCAACTCATATTTTTAATGCATGTTACAAAAATAAAACTTGGGGTGGGGAGCTTCAAAAAGTGATAAAGTCTCCAAAGCTGGAATCTGTCATACTCTAAATAAGCACTTAATTTGGGGTAGGAAAGTCACAAAATATAAGAAAAGTAAAAATAAATTATGAACATAGCTAATACTTTAATTCAGCTTTCCCAAAGACCTGAAGTTTATTTAGGACACGTGAAAGAAATCTCAAAGTTTGTTGAGTTATGTGTTTACAGAATTAGGACTACCATTTTAAACAGGTTAAAGCCTCATGCCAATTAGAGTCTGAAATTTTGGTGTGACAGAAATTGGCCTTATAAGGGTGGTTTTGTTTACAGGTGGAATCCCATAAAGTTTTCTCTTCATCTTTCATCTTCATGATCTTTTTTCATTCCTCACAATTTTCAATAGTCCATGAAAAGAAGTTTTTAAATCAGTTATATCCTATTGTGCCTTTTCTTTTCCCTTTTTCCTAGTTCCTTGACAGAGAATTTCAGTAAAATGTTTTTGCCCCTTTGTTGTAATTATTGATTATGGTATGAATCTGAGTAGTAAATTTAACTTTTTTCCTCTCTGGTGGTGTTTGTTTCCCAGACATTACAAAGTGCAATGAAGCATGGTTGTGAAATCCTTACAGAAGATCCTGAAGGCGGACCTGCTCGCATCCCCTTTGAGACTTTCTCTTACATCTTCAGTTATCTCTCAAGCTTAGATCAAGATAGAACTGAGAGTGATACTAACTTGTTTCTTAATCATCTTGAAGAAACAGTGTAAGTATAAACTGAATCTGATACTCTTTTTATGTTAACAAATGTGGAAATCTACTATGGAAAAAACATTTCCATTAAATTTCAACTAAGTGATCTTATAATTTACTTTGTTACGCACTAATAATGAGACTGATAAAAGTTAAAGAAACAATTTTGTGACTAGTCTATGTGCTTAGGACAGGAGTGGGGAACCTGCAGCCTTGAAAAATCAAACTTTTTGTTCTATGAAGTTTGGATTCAGTCAAGGGGCCACACCTGAGGACCTAGAGGGCCACATGTGGCCTTGAGGTCGCAGGTTCCCCACCCCTGGCTTAGAACATCAAACAAAATATTTTTGAAGATATCATCTCCTTGATCTGTACAGTTTACTACAGTTGCCAATACTCTGTTCAATTCATTTTAGTCATTGGAAGAAAAAAATTTTATCTCCCCATTAAGTAAAATTTTCAATAAATTTATATTGGTTCTTACATGCAGTCCTTCAAATAATTTTAACTATGATGTGATGTAAAAATATATTTAGAAAGATAACTACAATTTTTTGATAATGAAACAGAAAACTGTACACATCAAAGAGATTTAGATTTCTGGGATGACAAATTAGGGCATGTGGCTACTGTAGATAGCCAGAAAAGCACAGTATTATTCCACATTCTAAGTGCCTGGGGGAAAATGCCACATAAATATGAAGTCA